GCCAACAGGTAACAGCCTGGCTGATCAGCCCCTGATCCACCATGAGGCCTGGTCACAGACTGGGCCGTGGGGGTGTTGGCCCCCCGAAACCCTCTCCAGCTATACTCCAGCAAAAATTAAAAAAAAAAAAAAAAAATACCAACATTTCCGCTGTTTATTAATCATGTCCCCAGGCCTCTCCTATATTAAACTTGCCTTCCATTTTCAATCACACAAAATTAAAATATTTATTCTATTTCTCAGTTAAAATATAACCAGGAATTACCGTCATAGTTGATGGTGTCTCAATAATTGAATCAAATCTATTAAAAAACCATAAAACTGACTGGGACGCATTCGTTTTCAGGAAACACAACAGTTTGAATATTTTCGCTACTTTGAACCCAATTTCAAGCTACTTATGGTCTTGAAACCAACCATCATTATCTGTATTTCAGTAGCAAGTCCTCCATTCTATCTAATGATACCAAGAAACAGCTAATAAAACCATAAAAACCATCCAAACACAAGGTCAGTTTTGCTCTTTAAATCCAGCACCACACGGGGCAAATTTTTTTTATATACTGTGTACACTCTTTTATCAAAAGCCAAAATTTACCACTCATCACTTATTTAAAAAATGTAGGTCTACATCATCCTTCACATAGGTCTACATCATCCTTCACGTAGGTCTACATCATCCTTCACGTAAGTCTACATCATCCTTCACGTAGGTCTACATCATCCTTCACGTAGGTCTACATCATGAGCTGAGCTCATGATGTAGACCTACGTGAAGGTCTCTGATCTCAATGACTTACGGTGGACCCTTGGATTTTGTAGTCGTCAGATTTCGTAATATTCGGAATTAGTCATGTTTTTTCGTCAAAATATTGGCTCGGTGATCGTCACTGAACTTGGTAATAATCATTCATCCCAAACATGTCCGCTCGGCCCGACATACCATTTACAGTCAGTGTGCCATTGTTTATCAGCCAATGAGGACGATCCCACGTGTTCATACGATACATTCTGTATTATTCCATACTTTTTAGTGCTTGTAACTGCTAAGTAAGCCACCATGGGCCAAAAGAAAGCTTCTAGTGCCAGTCCTTTGGTAAAGAAGGTGAGAAACACTATAGAATTCAAGAAAGACATCACTGCAAAATTTGAAAGTGGAGTACGTGTCGCAGAGCTGGCCAGGTTGTATAACAAACCCCCATACAATCATTGCTTCTATCAAGGCCAAGAAAAAGGAAATCAAGGAAGCTGTTGTTCCAAAAGGTGCAAATATGCTTACGAAACAGAGATCGCAAATACTGTTAGATGTGGAGACTTTGTTGGTGTGGATCAACGAGAAACAATTATCAGGAGATAGTGTTATGTAGTTGATAATTTGTGAAAAGGCAAGGCAGTTGCACGACGATTTCGTAAAGAAAATGCCTGCAACAAGTGCTGATGTTAGTGAATTTAAGGCAAACAGAGGGTGGTTTGACAGATTTAAGAAGCGTAGAGGCATACACAGTGTGATAAGGCATGGTGAGGCTGCAAGTTCTGAAAAAATGCGGCTGAAAAACATGTTCAGGAATTCAAGGGGTACAAAGAGGCTTAACAACTTAAATCCCAACAAGTGTTCAATTGTGATGAAACAGGCCTGTTTTGGAAGAAAATGCCAAGGAGGACCTACATCACACAGGAGGAAAAGGCACTGCCAGGACACAAGCCTATGAAAGACAGGCTAACTCTTATGTTCTGTAGTAATGCTAGTGGGAATTTCAAAGTGAAGCCTTTACTGGTGTATCACTCTGAAAATCCCAGTGTGTTCAAGAAAAACAGTGTTGTCAAGAGTAAATTGTGTGTGGTGTGGAAGGTTAACAGTAAGGCATGAGTCACAAGGGAAATTTTCCTTGATTAGTTCAATGAAGTGTTTGGCCCCAGTCTGAAGAAATACCTCCTGGAAAATAAATTGGAACTCAAGTGCCTCCTGGTAATGGACAATGCTCCTGCTCATCCTCCAGACTTGGATGAGCAAATGGTGAAGGAGTTTTGTTTCATCACAGTGAAGTTCTTGCCCCCAAATACCACTCTTCTCCAGCCCATGGACCAGCAGCTCATTTCAAACTTCAAAAAATTGTACACCAAAGCAGTGTTTCAAAAGTGCTTTGAAGTGACCTCAGACACTGAAATGACCCTAAGAGAGTTATGGAAATATCACTTCAATATCCTCCAATGTATAAACCTTATAGGTAAGGCTTGGGAGGGAGTGGCTTGCAGGACTTTGAACTCAGCTTGGGGAAAATTGTGGCCAGATTGTATACAAGAGAGGGATTTTGAAGGGTATGGGGCTGAACCTGACAAGCCTATGCCAGTTGTGGAAAGTATTGTGGCACTGGGAAATTCCATGGGGTTGGGCTGTGAGTTTCGAGGATGTGGAAGAGTTGAAGGACCACGATGAAGAGCTAACCACTACAGAACTGCAAGACCTTCATCTGCAATAGCAACAGACCACAGCTCAGGAAATTGCTTCAGAGGAGGAGGAAGAGAGATGGAGGAAGGTGCCATCTTCAAAGATTAAGGACAAAGCTGTTGCAGGCCGTGTTGGCAACATGTACAATGACAATTTTGTGTCCCATTTTAGGGAAGTTTTAAAGAAATGCCAGATATAGACCACTCTGAAACTTTTTTGAGCAACAAGGGTCCAGTGACTCTCAAGCTGGTCCTAGTGGCATTAAAAAACAAAGAAGGGAAGTAAACCCAGAAAAGGACTTGGTACCTGAAGTCATTATGTAGGGGAATTCCCCTTCCAAACAATAGTACACCTCCATCCTCTCCCCTCCTCCCATCTCATCACTCGTCAACAAGTCTTCAACAAAGGTAAGTGTCATTTTATTATTGTTTTATTCTGCATGTCTTATTGTTTTCTGTGTAGGTAAATGTATATTTCATGTAAAAAAATTTTTTTTTTTTGGATTTAGATTATTTATGGGGAAAATTAATTCGGAAATCATCAGATTCGGGTTTAGTCACTCTCTCTGGAATGGATTAATTACGAAAACTGGGGGTCCACTGTACTTCTATGTGATGGCCACTGAAAGGGGTAACATCCTGTAGATGCATCATGCATAAGTGTAAATAAGTTAATCAAATTAGAACTTCTGAAAAGGGGTATGTGTGGTACCTAGTCTGAATAGAAATTATTCCGAGTCGATGTTTTGCCAACTGACAAAAGGTTTGCAGAATAAGCATTTATATGTCATTCTTCTTTAATAAAAAAATATAGTGATGTAAGGAGGGTGGAGTATATGGAGACTATTAAAGAGGTTAAAAGTGGTGAGGGAGCATAAAAGGAGAGCAATTGAAAGTGGGGGTGAACTTTTGGAGTGAAATTAACATGTTGAGAAAACCTAATGAATGAATAGATTTCACAGTTTAAAACAGAATAGGAGGGCGATTAAGATGGGAAGTTGGAGGTATTGGGAAGATGGGGAGAATATTTTAAGGAGCTGGTAAATATTGATGAGCAATGGGAGACAGTGATTTCATGCACTGGCCAGTAAGGAATAACATCCTTTAAGAGTAACGAAGATTAGATGTGAGAGTGAATGTGTGAGAGGCAGTGCACAAAATGAAAGCGGGTAAAACAGCCGATTCATAAGATAAAAATAGAAATGTTAAAAGCAGGTGGGCATATAGTTTTGGAGTAGTTGGTACTTTTTGTTCAATAAATGAATGAATATTGGCAGTTTGGAGGGATATGTTTTGTATCTTTATACGTATATGCTTCTAAACTGTTGTATTTTGAGCAACTCTGCAAAAACAGTGATTATGTGTGAGTGAGGTGAAAGTGTTGAATGATGATGAAAGTATTTTCTTTTTGGGAATTTTCTTTCTTTTTTTGGGTCACCCTGCCTCGGTGAGAGGCGACCGACTTGTTGGGGAAAAAAAAGAAAAATCATGATGTGCAAGAGTTTAGTATACAGTACTGTAGAGTATGAACTTCAAACATCAAACAAACATGGGGATATACAGTACTGTAGAGTATGAACTTCAAACATCAAACAAACATGGGGATATACAGTACTGTAGAGTATGAACTTCAAACATCAAACAAACATGGGGATATACAGTACTGTAGAGTATGAACTTCAAACATCAAACAAACATGGGGATATTCTATAACATACTTAAGATCTTACACATGCTCTGTCTTCAAGAAAATGCAATATCTACTTTCATCTCACCCTATACATGGTTCACATTCTCTGGCATAATTAAGCAATCAAATATACAGTAAGATACTACTATAATGAACAACACTTGCAGAAATTTTTCATGGTAAAACTCAAAAGCACAAATGTGTAGTGACAAATCTCCATCCTATGACTGACACAAACTGAAATTCCTAGTATATAGTTTTATCTCTGTAAACGCTAATGCACGTCTAACTCAATGGGATGGAGAAGGTGCACATGTGTAAGCCACATTCTTGTTATAGGCAGGCTCTCCCTTGTGAATGTCATAGGAAGACCCGGACTATTTTTTTATACAGGCCCCCTCACCTTTCTATTCAGTTGACAATGTACTTAAGAATGACAAGTAAAACCAAAACAAAACCCCCCCAAAATTACCTTCTGAGAGCACGAATCAAAACTGTTTACATTCACTTTATAGAAAAAAAGCCAAATAACATTTTAAGTTCAAAAATCATGTCTATAAGAATTAGACAGTACTTCTATACTCTGTCAGCGAATCCCTTGTTTACATACAAAAATGTTCCTATCAAAGAAAATACACATGATATCTTGGCATATTCACTGTACCATCACATTAAACAAGTAACATATATCACTGAATCACATATTCAACACAGTGATGTAACTAACAAGACAATTATGGCAGACACAACAGTGAAGCCACTACAAATTAACATGACAAGAAATTAACTAAATTCATAACTTCATGTCAGTAAGGTATGCTAATGGCCAACAATACAAAATTAGAGAAGGTATCAAGGTACTCACAACCGGTTTCTCAGGTTCAGCCTTCACCAGCTTGATGTCTGATTTTGCTTGTCTGCTCTGTTAGGGAAAACATAAGAAATAAACAGTGACCATTCCAGTGTATATATAGTTGTAAACTTAATACAAATACTGCCAGATATACAATACATTGCCAATCACTGCTGTGTTTTATTACACTTTGTAATACACTATGTACTCCCTGTTGTTGAGGGGGGTTGTAATGTGGAAAAATCTATCCATTTTAACTACATTCAAGCATAACACTTGATTAAGCACCCAGATGATTACAGTAGATAAAAAGATACTACCGATCAGCAATTATATGAGCAATAAAAGCATTATGGTGGTTACAAAAGAACTGTTGATCAGTATTATAAAAAAGAGGCAGCCCATCCTTATTTTAAATAGAAAAAAATTATAGAATGAATACGCTTTACCTTCAGCCACATTCAAGTTAGGGTATTAGAAACTAATCTTACAGCCTAAGAAAAGGAATACTATATATTTACTAAACGAAAGTTCAAGACAAATGTTAAAAGCAGGGACTGGGAAGGAAGAGGGTTATAGCTTTGTAGTAGTTGATACATCTCAATATAGCCATGAAAAGGGAAAAAGTACCTAGGGATTGGCAGAGAGAATGTATAGTTTCTTTGTGCAAGGCAAAAGGGGATAAAGTATTAAGAATTATACAGGTACAAGCCTGTTGAGTATACTAGGTAAAGTGTACGGTACAGTTATTATTGAAAGAAAACAAGCTAAGAGAAAGTAGGATTGTAGATGAATGAGGTGGCTTTAGGAAAGGTAGGGCAGTGTATACCTAGAGTTTCGCAATTGCTTTTTTGCCAATGACTTGGTTCTTTTTGGAGCTTCTGAAGAGAAGCTGGAAACACACTACTACCTCCACCACTACCTCTTCCTGCCTATATATACCCGTCCTGCTCTACTTCTCGTTAGTGTGACTGTAAATGGTCCAAGCCGGACCGAAACGTCGTCGTAAGCTCCTCTCTTCTATGTGCGGGTTATTTGTGTATCGTTCCAGTCACGGTACTGTGCCTTTTTTTATTTAGAAGTTGGAAAGGTTGGTGGATGAATTTGGAAGGGTGTGTGAAACAAGGAAATTAAAAACTGAACAGAGGAAATAGATAATGCATAACAAAAAATCTTGGTAATTAAACCTTAAATATCAGATTAGAGGGGAGGGAGGGAGGTTTCTTAACACGCCGCCCATTTCCCACTGAGGCAGGGCGACCTGAAAAACAAGACATGGTTTCACCATCACGCACACTATCACTATCCTGCCAGAGGTGCACTGATGCCCCTCCAAACTGAAAATATCTCCGCTCCTTCTTCAGGGTGCAGGCACTGTACTTCCCACCTCCAGGAGTCAAATCCAGCTAACCAGTTTTCCTGAATCCTTTCGTAACGTATTTTCCAGCATATAAAGTGCACAAGCAGTTGTAAAGTAATATTAGTAAACAACTGCTAAAGTATAACCCACAACCAACACTCAACCCTGATGTTGAGCATATCAGGTGCAAGGTGATTGGTGGTGGTGGTGGTGGTGGGGGGGGGGGGATGCCTTATTCTTTCTTTCAACACACCGGCCGTATCCCCCCCCCCCCCGAGGCGGGGTGGCCCAAAAGGAAAAACAAAAGTTTCTCCTTTCACATTTAGTAATATATACAGAAGGGGTTACTAACCCCTTGCTCTTGGCATTTTAGTCGCCTTTTACAACACGCATAGCTTACGGAGGAAGAATTCTGTTCCACTTCCCCATGGAGATGCCTTATATGCCAGAAAATATGGTAAATGTTTCCTTGCTCCTACTCCACTTCAAGACAGCCTATTTGGCTCCAGCCTCTCTAAATGTCCAAACCACCTCAATAACCCCTCCTAAGCTGTCTGGATAATACTTTTATTAATCCCACATCTCCTCCTAATATCCAAGCTACAGATTCTCTGCATAATACTCACACTACACATTGCACTCAGATATGATATCTCCAGCCTACTAGTTGCAGCAACATTCACAACCTATGGTGCACACCAATATACGAATGTTGGTACCACTATGCTCTCATACATTCCCTTTTTGCCTCCATGGATAAGATTCTTTGTCTCCACAAATGCCTCAATGTACCACCGACATTTTACCCCTTATGGTTCACCTTGTCTTTCATATACCCATCCTCCAACAAATTAACTCCCAAATATTTGAACACATTCAATTCCTCCATACTCCCTTCTTCAAATCTGATACACATACAATGTTTCATTAACTAATTTTCTTGTTACCCTCATCTCATTGCTCTTTGCAACCTGTCTTCAGAATCTATCAAAAGAAGTCAAAAGGTAAATATCAACTGTGACAACTCCCACTTTGTATGAGATTCTACACATTATATTCCCAAATTTCTCCCCAACATACTAGCATTCATTTCTTTTACAATCCCATCTAAAATATGTTAAACAACTATTCTGACATCATGCATCCCTGTCTAAGGCCTACTTTTAGTGGGAAAAAAATTCTCCCTCTCTCCTACTCACCCTAACCTGAGCCTCAAAATCCTCAGAGACCTGCCACCTATTGCAAACACTTGCAACATTTGACACACTTCCTCTATCCACTCTATCATATGCTTTTTCTTAAATCCATAAATGCAATGAAAACTTTACTACCTTTATCTAAATATTGTTCCTTTATATTCTTCACTGTAAACACTTGGTCTACACATCCACTCCCCTTCCTAAAGCCTCCTCTTTCATCTGCGATCCTGCTCTCCATCTTACTATTAATTCCTTCAATTAAAGCTCTACCATACACTTTACCTGATATATTCAACAGCTTTATTCCCCTATAATTTCTACACTCTCTTGTCCCCCTTTCCTTTATACAAAGGAACTGTGCCCACACACTGCCAGTTCCTAGGTATCTTCCCCTCATTCATTACATTTATTGAGCAAAGGTACCACCCACTCCTAAACAATATCCTGCCTGTTTTTAATCTTTCTGTCTTAATCCCATCAATTCTACTTGCTTTACTCCCTTACATTTCACCCACAGCCTCACCCACCTCAAATATCTAAACGCCAAATGTGTTTAGATATTTGAGGGCGGGCTTTCTAGCAGATGGGTTTATGAAAGATGAGGTGAATCACAGAACTGACGAGGTAAAAAAAGGATGGCGAGGCATCTGAAGAGACAGAAAAGATTATCCAAAGAGGTAAATAAGGGATATGTAAAGAGTCTAGTATCACTAACACTACTGTATGGGTGTGAAATGTGGGTTTCAAATGTTCCAGCTTGGTGGAAGCTGGAAGTAATGGGGATGTGTCTGAAGATGTGTGGCATGAATATTATGCAGAAAAATTCAGAGTATGGAGATTAGAAAAAGGTGTGGGATTACCAAAAGTATTATTCAGAGGGCAGAGGAGGGTTGTTGTAGTAGCTTAAGCACAGAGATGAAGCAAAATAAGATGACTAGAAGGGCACATAAATCTTAATTAGGGAAAAGTAGGGGTAGAGGTAAACCCATAATGAGTTGGATGGAGGGAGGTTTCAAGTGCTAGGGACTTGGGCAACAAACATCCTTGTGTGAGCTTCTTGGATAGTAGGATGTGGAAGCAGTTGTTTTTTGTAATTTCATCAAAAGACCTCCCTGAAGGGGTAGCTGGACTAGTCTAGAGGTGGGAAGTACAGTGCCTACACTCTGAAGAAGTGGTGAAAATATTGCAGTTCAGAGGGTCATCTGAACTGTTATGTCAGCACAGCTTCTGGCAAGACAGTGATTGAATGAACGACACTGAAAGCATTTCCTTTTTTGGTCACCTTCCTCAGTGGGAGATGGCTGGCGTGTTGAAAAATTTAACAAAATGTCAATGTACTGCAGATAAACCTAACACGTAGCACTGCAGTGAGAGTGCAGCCAGAGTCATCAATGGACCAACAAGTAGCACTCAAGTGTTTGAAGCCAGAATGTTGGAGAAAATTTCAAAATTTTCTCCAGAACAATGAATGGTGAAATGGCAAGCTTATTTTTCTAGTTGTCCAAGAGCAGTGATTCCTCCTAGTACTTTACTACTGAACTATTAGTACTGCCATTATAACAGTTATTACAATACTAAATTCCCTACAACAGAGCATTTACAAAGGATGCAGTTCATCAAAAAATGTTAAATGCTTACATGTAAGGATAAAAAATTTATGTATAAACATGGAAAATCATCAACAAACCAAGTTTATTATTTTCACATATTTCTCACAATACACTTAAAATGAAATGCGTATCAAAAATTTCGACCAATCCACAAACTGGAGATAAATCCATAGAAAACATTTTGGTCCACTCACGACAGATCAAAATATCTTAAGATTTAGTGTGCCTCCAATTTGTGGATCTGTGAACTGTTCCAGCTCTATTATTATGACTTTGCATGTCAATAAACAACAGTTGTTAAATGCTGGTATGTAAACAAGCTAAGGTAAAAACATGCAAGAATCCTGAACAAACAAGTTTTCTGCATTCCCATGTATACTACACTCTCAAAGTACTGAACAATAATGTACGTCCAAGGACTGATTATTTCCCAACATAACCCTACTGCCTCCAAAACACTTTAAATCAGTAGCCAACATATTTACAATTTGCTCCCGGGATATTCAAGAAATTACTTTTCAGTATGGCTTCAACAAGTAAAGCATACCTGTTCCAAAAGTATTTTCTTCTTTTCCAACATCAACTTTTGACGTTCTAATTCCAAAATCTGTTCCTCGCGCTTGAGGATTTCGAGGTCCTTCTTGCTCTTGTGACCTGATGAGGATGATGTTGATAAAGATGACCCCTTAACCACTCCAGGCTGAGAAAGACCAATTTGATTTTGATAATACACTTTATTTGCAATTTCACCTACAGCTAAATTTAATTTCAGTCATGCAGTTCTCCAGTTTTGTAACATGGGAGCTCCCAGGCAAAATAGATTCCCATGAGAGTGGCTACTGGATATGCCTAACCGTAAATGTCCTGATAATCAATTTGGTAACAGGACTTCAGCCCTTTTATCATGAATTTGGGAGAACTGTGTCAAAAATTATGGTGATACCCATGGTGCTAAATTATCCAAGAGCATTACTCTAAACAGACGATGACAGAAAAGCCTCCAGCTTCATGTAAAATCTTTTAGCCAGAGCCCTTCTCAACACCATGAGGCCTATCCTGTTCTAATCTGCACTTTCAGTGGTATTGTTTACCTATCACACAACCAGTTGTATTATCGTATTTACCAACCATCTTCCATTGATGACAATCATCACAGCATTATACCTGATCCACTTTATTAACTATAGCATCTGTGACCTTCTCTGCCAGCTAATGCCATACACTTTCCTACCGATTATTATTCCATCATATACTCATATGATGCACTTATTTTAATCACGGCTTGTATTCTAAACTTATTTCATGTTCACTTTTAAGTTCAAGATGTTTAGAATAAGGCACACTGCTGTAATACAGTACAGCACATTCCTCCTTCCAATATTAATTAAAAAAATCCAATGAATGCAATTAACTTTTGTCGTTAACTGTCATATATTTACAGTGCCGACAGACTTACCATTTCCAATATTTCACTAACCAATTCAATATTGCGCTACCCTATTTTCACCATACTTATACCAGCATTTAACTTCAATTGCACACTGCAGAATTCCTTGAAATGCTTCAGCAACTTCTAGCAATAAACACTATTAAAACACACTTTTGTAGGGATAGCATCTTACCATCCAACTTCAACATTCATTCTGCTATTGCTCTCACTTGCTATTATATACACCAGCCCAAACACCTTCATCCTTCCACACACACACATACAAAAGATGATTTAAGAAAACTGAATGAACTATTACTTCAAACTCCCCTATTTCAAAATTAATATAAGTGTCATAAATATAACTTAAAAAAATACCAATGAATATATTACTAGTGTTAAAAATAATTAAACACACTCCACTTGCATGTAACTGACAACAAAGTGTAGAAAAAAAAATCAGTGGAAATTTCCTTTGCACAAACTGTATCTATTTAAGTATTCAAGTGATATATAAAATGCTGGGTGGCCATGTGGTGGCAGGTGGGGTATTTTTTTTTTTTTTTTAAGGTAGGCCCAGTGACAAGCCCGTCATCGCACACATAATGTCTACAATGACTTTCTAGAAGCGTGGTGTGACTGACCCAGTGTTTGTCTTGTCTCAGGATATTAACCATGAATGGCACCCAAAAGGAATACTAGTGATGTTGAAAGTGCTAACTTGCAAGTTGCACAAAGGCTAGTAACCCATAATTACACATTGCCATACTTTTAACAGTCATTGACATGCCCTAGCTGTATTTATTTATAAAATTGTTGAATACTGTTGACTGATAAAGCATGAAATGAGCAGTTAAGTTCATGATTTTTACTGTGGTGCAGTTAAGTGCTTTGAGGGGCCCCCATTGCTATGCTGTACAGAACACAGCTTCCCAGTCTCTGTAAAAGGAACACACTAAACCAACTGACTTCCTCCCAGCCTTAGACTTGGTAGGTGGTGCTGGTAGCCGGTACTGCCTGCCATATGTTTGTACAGGTATTTAATGAACAGGGCCATGTTAACCCTCTCTACACACTTGCATATAAACAGGTAACAGCAACCAAAATATATAATTAAATTGTTTCCTTTGACTTTCTAGCATATTTTCAAAAAACAAATATTGTCTTTGAATGATGTGCCAATTTTCACACACAACCTGAGCATTAGTGGAGCATCTACTGTCAATATCATTCCCTTGTAACAAATAGCAAGACCTCTAATATCCACTGCCAACTTAAATCAGTATGCTCACCTTAATAATGTTGGGGTTGATGTGAATATTTGGCTTGCTGGTTGACTGTGATGTAATTGCCAAACCTGTAGGTAAAGGCCAGGCTGGATCCAACGACTGTACTTTAACATCTAGCCCATACAAGCGGGACTTTGGGAATACCTCATTCCAGGTGTGTCTTAGCTCATACAGCTTCTTTCTTGTCCTTTCATCAACCTATGACAAAATAAAACACCTATAGAAAGCTCAGTAAATGTCAAAAATAGAGGCAATATAGCAGTGCGAATTAAGAGATGAAATTCACTGGGACCAATGTATTGTACAAAAAACAAACTATAAGCTACGCTAAAGAATTTGTTTTCCATGAAACTTTTAGTTGGTGCACATCAGTGGCAACACAGATCTTTATCATTAAATTACTCAAATTCACGAACAGTAATCTGATCGTTAAATTTCTGAAATTCACTAACAGTAATTTGATCATTAAATTTCTGAAATTCACCAATAGCAATTTGATCGTTAAATTACTGAAATTCACCAATAGCAATTTGATCGTTAAATTTCTGAAATTCACCAATAGCAATTTGATCGTTAAATTACTGAAATTCACCAATAACAATTTGATTGTTAAATTACTGAAATTCACCAATAGCAATTTGATCGTTAAATTACTGAAATTCATCAATAGCAATTTGAAACCCCTTCAATCAAGGCAGCCACAAGTTGTGCACTCAACGTTACAATGCTTGCACGTGTGGAGCTTATCTGTAACTTACTTTTTCAAAAACACAACTAAATGTGTTAATAATATTGTGGCCGAACAGTTTGATATAATCCTGGCCAACATTCTTCATGATGGAGTCAATCAGGTACATTACCGGGAGCTTTTGAGCACCTGAAACCTGTAAATAGAAGAAAACATGCCATTAATATTTGATAATTATGCATATCATTCAAATCATGCCTGACTGACAAGAGAATGAGTAATATGTATATCAATCCCAATTCAGAATAAACGTAACTTCGATTACAGTGGATACACAGTATGCTTTATCAAGTCACTACCATTGATCTACCTGCTATTTGCTACAACTCGTAAGTATAAATAATTTCAGTTCCAAGTACACTGTATTTTAGCAATATTTACAAAATAAAATACAAATACACCTGTTACTATACAATTATAAAGGACTATTAACCTCCAAAATTAAAAGTACTGAGAATGTTGGCAAGTTTTTTTTTAATTCCTTTGGAAATGGTAATCTTTTTCTGAAAGTAATGACAATATAAATACAAAATTTGATGGAAAAACTCATGGAATTATGCTGGCACAAGGCTGGCACAAGGCTGGCAGTCTGGGAGCAACAAGCTAGAGGAACAAGGAATTTTAGGTGGGGTAAATTTTTTTTAATTTTTAGCACACTGATAAAAGAGTATTAAATTTATAATGATCATTAGCACTATATTAGCTCTGCCTATTTTCTTCTCGTGCACAGGAGACTATATTCATTTATAACGGCACAAAACATACTCAACCCCTGCCAATTTGGATTCAGGAAAAATAAAAGCACTAATGATGCAATCATAAAAATGCTAGATCTGCTCTACACAGCATTGGAAAATAAGGAAAATCCACTAGGAATTTTTATTGACCTAAGAAAAGCTTTTGACACAGTAGACCACGACATCCTACTCCACAAACTTGACCACTACGGTACAAGAGGCCATGCGCTTGCTTATTTCAAATCTTACCTCACTAATAGGTATCAGTATGTCACCATTAAAGACACAGCATCAACAACACAGCCACTTGATACTGGAGTTCCGCAGGGAAGTGTCCTTGGTCCCCTGCTCTTCCTCATATACATCAATGATCTTCCAAACGTATCCCAACACCTGAAACCCATTCTCTTTGCTGACGACATGACTTATGTCATCTCTCACCCTAATCTTGCCACCCTCAACACCATTGTTAACGAGGAGCTGATCAAAATATCGACTTGGATGACAGCCAATAAACTTACGCTTAACACTGACAAAACCTATTATATTATGTTTGGCAGCAGAGCAGATGCACAAATTAACATTAAGATCGACAACACTCTAATTACCAGACATAATGAGGGCAAATTCCTAGGCCTATACCTTGACAACAACCTGAATTTCAGCACCCATATCCAACACATAACCAAAAAAGTATCCAAAAAGTTTTGGGATCCTCTCCAAGATACGATACTACATGCTGCAAACTGCCCTTATCACACTATACCACTCACTTATTTATCCATACCTCACCTATGCTATTTGTGCTTGGGGATCAACTGCAGCAACACACCTAAAGCCAATAATAACCCAACAAAAAGCTGCAGTAAGAATAATCACTAAATCCCATCAGTGGCAACACCCCCCCCCCCACTCTTCATAGATCTAAACTTACTCCCTGTTCAGTACATCCACACTTACTACTGTGCACTGTGCAATCTACATCTACAGGACCTTAAACTCCAGTATCAACCTTGACCTAAAACGCTTTCTTGATAGTTGTGACAGAACTCACAGGCATAACACCAGACACAAACATCTCTACGACATTCCCCGTGTCCGACTAAACCTTTACAAAAATTCAATGTATGTCAAAGGCCCTAAAATCTGGAATACCCTACCTGAGAACTCTAGAACTGCAGACACATTCATCACCTTCAAAACTACCATTAGAAAACATCTTATCTCCCTGATACACCCAGTCAACTAACTACACGAATACCACCTGGTGGTTCACACTTACACTCACTCACCCATTTGACCATAAACAGAAATATTAATCTCAATCTTAAAATAATGAATCCTGTGATACTCCAATACTGAAACTATGTACTGTGCCAAAACAAAAGCATTCACATTGCTAAACTCACAAACTAGTATTTAGTCACTTAGCCATAATACCAACTTACCTCATAATTTGTAATATTTTAAAATTAAGAATTAAACTAAGTCTGCCCGAAATGCCTAGCCATGCTAGGTGTTCTAGTGGTACACTCTGTAATCATTATTTTACTACATGTAAACCACACAATAACCAAATTCTGTAAACTCAGCATTGTAATCCCTACAGAGAATAAACTTTGAATTTGAATTTTTCCTATGGAAGGAATTGACAGCATACTGTGAAACATGATAAGCCACCCAGTATAACCCAAGAAAATCTCCTTCCGACAGTATTTAAGTCTCAACACTGCCGCTTGATCTTCAGTTAGTTCCAGACTTTGGAGCAGACCTTCTCCAGGCTGAGGGACTGACAACCTCAAAGCTACGACTTCAAGGGTGATGGACTGATTACATTGTCCTCACATCTCTACTGCTCCTGCCTAATTTCTGTACTCGACTGAAGAAGCCTACTGTGTAGGCGAAACATTTTGAAATAAAGTTGCCTAAATGTTGCCTATGTGTCTTATCTACCAACCCATCATTAAGAGTACTTTCAATTCTGTCCCCCAGGATGTGACCCACAACAGTCAACACCCAGGGACCTACTTGCTTTCTAAGTCAACAGTGACAGCCTTGCCACGGGACTTGGGTCAAACGCAAGCTTCTCCTAGGCCTTAAGTTTATTTTGTAAGCAAGTTTTAACCCAAGATAATAAATTACAATTTCCATATTATTGGTATATAATAAGCAAAACCAGGTAAAGCGATAAATGTGAAACTAATGCCACAATAAAAATGTTGCATTAGTTGCACGTGTCCTTTTACCCAACCTACCAAGTAGTCTCTCAGGTATGACCAACGATCCAGATACCCTAAAGTCATGCATCTCCACCTTAGTTATTGAAAATATGAATCTTCGAGAGACGCTAACAAAACAAGACACCAGGATGACAACTCGAGAACAAAATCCTCAGTCTTGAACAAATGTTATCAACACCAGAAATGACTAACTATGGCAAGACCATCCAGACAGTCATAGATAGCCATACTGATCAAATAATATCTCTTAATACAAAGGTTGAAGAAGCAGTAAAAGAATGGAAGAACAACTTAGATAACCAGTTCAGCGACTACTTTGCCTCCAAGAAGATAAAACTGAGCAAGATAAACTATCGGATGCAGTAATAGTTAACAGTCCACTTTTTCCCAGTGATATGAACCAAACAAACAGTAAAGAAATTACTCTCCAGATCATAAAGGACCAAACAAGTGTTATTGTACCAGAGTCTGAAATAAAAGAAGCCAGGTTACTAGGATCCCATGGTAGAAAAAGTGTTATGCTTAGATTCCACTCACATGACAGGAAAAAAGACTTAATTATTGCATCTATTAAAGTAAAGAAAGGTATACATAAACGAGTGTCTTACCAAAAAACGTCAGAACCTCCTGTATAGAGTCAGAAAACTTTAGCAGGAGAATAATGACACAATACACCAATGCTTCACACGGGATGGGAAAATTCTAGTTAGGAAAACATATGTAGGTCAACTGTACACAATCACGAACGAGAATGATCTATCACGATTTCTCAGGGATAATAATCTTACAGAGAATAACTAAACAATGTCCAACCTAAAAGCCTACGTAGTGTAGTGTATGTTTTGCTCCATTATTGTTCAAATTTCATTGTACAATCTCTTAGTAATTAAATAATCAACTATCTCATGTGATTTTACTAGTAAGCGTAAGTCACCTTATGTAATTTTCTTATTTACTATTGTTTGCTTAAATATTAGTTGAATTGATACTTTCTCTGTCCATATTACTACCTCATATTTTTTTAATACTATCAATTGATATTACTTACAAAAAATTAATAATTAATTACCATTTTTACTATCATTACAATTTACTCTTAACATTTTTGACATCATTTAACTACCATTACTTGTCTAATTACCATAACCTGTTTTAATACCACATTTACTATCTTAGAGTACTCTTAATTACCTTGTACTGCCAAATAACTTCTAGTATAACTACCAGTGCAATATTGAATCCAAATAACTGTTCTTAAAATTTAATACTTGAAATAAACATTACTTTTTCATTTTATTTTTGCTAATTAATCATTTTTTGTAATCATTATTACTTAAAAAAATTTTATTAAGCACCATATTTACTACCAGACAATTTTACTTTTGTACATTAATCATTACTTTATACTTTTCATAACATTTTGTTGCCAAATTTTCAGGTTTGTATATTCAACTCCAACCTTTATATTATCCTTTGTACCTGTGTACCTGTGTACCTGTCTACCATCTTACTATCATATTATAACCAAGTCATTGCCATTGTTATTTTTTACTTATTATTCTTTTGTACTTTAATTTGTGAAATTTATTTTGTCAATTTAAATCTAGTTATATTCTTGTTCTTGTAAACAACTTACATCAGACCTTAGTGCAATTGCAAGTACCATTTTAATTTGTATTTTTATATTATAAGTTTATACCTAGTTGTACTTTAGCTCTTTCTAGCTCAATACATAGAAACACCAAAACTAACTATACTAGTTGTACTTTAGCTCATTCTAGCTCAATACATAGACAACACCTAAACTAACTATACTAGTTGTACTTTAGCTCATTCTAGCACAACACATAGACAATATAAATTTCATTATGTTTATTAGTGACTATACTCTATATGACCAAAGTGCTTTAGCAATATACTTATCCAAATCTCCCACCACTAGAGAAATCAGTATTAGAACCACATAATACAGGATACAAACAACCACTATTTAAACCTAAAAGATGAATGATCACGTTAACCCTGATCTAAACCTCCATAATCTAACACACAATCAAAACTTATTGGAAAGTAACTGCCTTTATTACACAGCATCACAAGCCAGCACTATCCTGAACACTGCTCAAAGTCTATCAGTTCTTAACTACATCAGGTCCTTAAGCAAACACTATGATGACCTCC